GCCCCCCGCCGTCACCCTGGCGGCGACCCCGGCCCCCGGCTTGCAGATCAGTCACACGGACAGCAGCTCCGACCTCTCCGACTGCCCCTCCGAGCCCCTGTCCGACGAGCAGCGCCTACTGCCCGCCGCCAGCAGCGACGCCGAGTCGGGCACCGGCTCCAGCGACCGGGAACCCCTGCGGGGGGCGCCCACACCGAGCCCGGCAGCTCGGGGGGCGCCTCCAGGCAGCCCCGAACCCTCTGCGCTTCTCTCCGCGCCCCCCTCCGCCGGCGCCTGTCTTGGGGGCCGGAACAGTCCTGGTGGGGTCTCCTTGGGCTCGGCGGAGGATGCTGGGGGTCGCGCGCCGCCTGAGCGAGCGGTCCCCTGTACCCCCAAAGAGCCCAGCCCAGGGGAGCAGCCCCGGGTGGGGCCGGCGGCGGCGGAGGAGGAGCTGCTACGGGAGATAGAGGAGCTGCGCTCGGAGAACGACTATCTCAAGGTGAGTTGCTGGCCCGGTGGCAGGTGTCCCGGAGGGCCCCGGGAGGCTCAGGTTGCGGGCGGGTCCGCGAATCCCGCCTCCCCCGGACTGACAAGCCCCTTCTCCCCTCCGCGCTCCGCTTCCCTGCCCCCGCAACCATTGCGCTGGGAACTCAGGCCAAAACTTACGGACCGAGCGGCCAGACCTGTGGGTTCGGGCCAGTTCTCAAGGCGCTTAGCTTTTCGAGTTTCTAGAAGTCATGTCTCTCTTCGCTGATGCCTTTTGCTTTTTGGGGGAAGGAGAGGTGGCTAAAATAATTCCGAAGGTATCCGCCGCTGCTCCGGCCCGCGATACGAGCCCAGCTCACCTGTGGGAGTGGGTTATCCCTAGCCAGGAGTACTGGTTCTACCACACGCAGTGTTCGTTCCGAAAAGTGTGGTGGCCCAGGGCGCAGATGGTACCTGCCGCCTCTCCTGCAATTGCGGAAAGGACTGGGGTCCCGCAGTGTCGCCTCTGGATCCCCACAGACAGGGGGGCCTCGCCGTTGTCGGCGATAAAGCTTAAATTCGGGAGGGGTTGCTTCCATGTGGCCTGGGTTAAGAACAGCCGTGTTTCGCCGGTCGGCCTCTTGTAAGCATCTCCAGGACGGGTTTTCTGTCACAGGAGAGGCCGCGACAGAACTTTCGAAGGAATCGCAGCCTCTGTCGCACCGTCTCGGGGTGTTTTCCCGGAGGCCTGCTAGCAGGGCTTCCTAGTCTGTTTAGCAGTCGGGCACTTAATCTGACTCCATCTTTTCTCAGCGGAGGAGGGCTGCAGACCAGAGGGTTTAGCCAATGTTGGGGAGAGGGGACGGGTGCGTCCAGACGATCGAGGTGACTTAAAAGAAAATAAGGGGGTTGGATTGAGGACACCTGTTTTCATTTATTATAATCCTCGGGTTAGTAAATGACTCCGCTGTTATAACTCTGTCCCTGTGTCTGTGAAGACTATGAGCATCCTCCCTATCTAGGGGAAGGCCCTGCTCTATCAGTGGTTATGTGATTTGAGCGGTTTTCTCCAAAAATGATGAACCTACCTGATGGAGGCCCAGTTTTTGGCCAGTGAGACTGAGGAATGGTTTTTCCAAGTGGAGAAGTGTGCAGTTCAATTTGGAATCAGCACATGAACTGCTGGGTCGTCCTAAAACCTAAACCTCTTATCGGGAGCTGCCCTAACCTACTGAACCTACTAGTTATCTTGTGCAAAGAGATACCAGTGAGGCAGAGAAAGAGAGGTGAAGAAGAGCAGTGTGAACTTACAATGGGAGGTTTCAAATAGTACTTTTGCTTTTGCCACCTACTCTTACATAACAAGCAACAGAGTGGAATTCCAAGGTGTTGAAGTGAAAAAGCAATGAAGAAAGCAATACTGTAAGTCCTCAGCAAATATAAGCTCCCTGAGGGTGGGAAGGAAATCTTGTTAATTTTTTGTAGCCCCAGAATTTTAGCATCATCTCTGATTTACAGTGTTTCTGATTCCAAATTGTGACTCCTAAGCAACAGGAAATGGAATTTCTTAAAAGAGGTTAATCTGACATAAGTTCAAGGTTCATTCTTGGGTAATTGGTTATTTGATTTATTTTGCTTTCCCTCAGTGTAAGCTCATGGAAAATGCGCATGATGAAAAAACTATGTGTGGGTTTCAAAAATGTTTTTGCACCAAAATAAATTCGTACTTTCATTTCATTTTTCTGTGGGCTTCTTGAAGTCTCGTGTAGGTATCTGACCCTGGAGTGTTTGCTCTGGTGTGTTTGACTTTTCAGGGGCTCTTTATAACCATGCTGGGTATTATAGTTGTTACATTTTATCAAAACACCAATTTCACAGGCAAGGGTGGTAAGAACCAGAAAACGGAAGTGACTTACTCAAGGTCATGCAGCTTCCTAAGCACTGGGGCTTTTATTTTGCTGGCTTCTAGAGCCTCTTTCTGCCGACTGCACTAGTCCGCATCTCTGTTTCCAGCAAGGCTGCCTTTCTCTGGCTACCCTGCTTCAGAGTGGTTTTATTAGCTGGAGAGGTTCTCAGTGTGGCTCTCCTAGGGGACTTCTCACCCTTCTGGTGGGAAGGGGTTTAATGAACACCTCTCCACTAGCCTGTGTATGGACAGCCGCCTAAATCCCTCTGGCGATCTTTAATCTGTGGGAAATGTTCAGTTGCCATTTCCTGTGGAGAAAGTGTCACTGCCATCTGTTGACCACTCCAGAGCCCACCTTCCTTTGACACCAGGAGAGAGTTGGATGGAAGAGATCTCAAGGAGGCTAGGAAGTCGGAAGGATTGCATACATGTGCACGGACACTTGTTCGGTCTCTCAGATGCTTAAATGATAGTAGTTGGATTTGCGAAGGAGCTACAGGAACCCTGGCGGGGTTTTCATGGGTCAGTGAGCCTGCGCACTTGTGCACGGTCGGCTTTGAAGCATCCGCGACCTCACAGGGCAGAAGCTGGAGTCACGGTTTTGTGCCAGGTGTTTAGAGTGTGCCCATTAGAAATCCAGACTTCTTTTGTTGTTGTTGTTGGGGATACTTTTCTTGAGAGGGAAGAGTAATGTGTGCGTCCTTAAGGACTGCTGCATAGACTTCTCACAATTCGATGTAGCATCCATCTCTTAAATGGGATAAAAGCAGTCAGATTCTGTTCTCAGTGCCATCCAACAGGAAGAGACTCAGCCCAGAAACGTTACTTTGATGTGTTCTGGAGGATCGTGACCACATGCAGTGTCCCATTCTTTCCGGAGTCAGCGCTGTCACCACTGCTTTACAAGACTGTCACAATGTCTGAGCTAGAATGACCAGAGTAACCAAATGGAAAAATGAGGCCAGGAGAACTGTAGGAGGATGTCTTATTAGCCAGGAAATTTAAGTGCAGTTCTCTTTGTTGTGGTGGTTTTGTTTGCTGGCTAGCTGTATTTCTTAAAGAGAAGTCCACGCCTTCTGTTGTGCTGTGTGGAGCCTGTAGGGCTGTCCCTGCTTTCTCCTTTTTCTCCACCTTCACCAAAGGGCATCAGGGAGACTAGATGAGAAGTGCAAAATGACTCAGTCGAGATGACTGACTTTTGCATGAACACGCTGACAAGAAAGTTCATCTCCTCTGATGAACTCAAATTTCTTTGGAAGTATTCAGAAATTAAGGTGAGTGGTTGAGTTCATTTATTCAAAGGCCTTTACTTCTTTCTCGAACAGAACACAGCCACATTTCTTCTTTTTTTTTCCTTACAGAATTATTTAACTTTATTACTTTATTTACTCGTTTTTCAATTTGACCCTAGAGGGAGAGAGCAAGAGAGGGAGAGTGAGAAAGTGAGAAAGCAAGCCACCAGGTCTGGGACTTGAACCATGGTCAGCCATGTGGGAGTCCAGCGCTCTTAACAATCACGCTACCTTCTGCCCCCCGCCCCCCAGGCACATTTCTTAATGCCAAGGACTTCTCCAAAATGCAGGGTGTTTCACCCTGCCTGCTTGCCACTGTGTTTTATTGAGGGCCCTGAGACAACCAGACAAGCAAGCCTAGTGCTCATTGTCAACATATTAATTATGTTCTCTATTTCCACAGCCTTTTCAGGAGGATTTAATCACTTTGAGTTAATTGGCCTATTTTGGAAATGCTGTTTTAGTAGTGTTACTGGTGATGCTACTCCCCCTCCCCCAATAGTGTACCCAAACAGTGCTGACACCCTGCAGTGTGGGTGGGTGAGGATTAGTTAGGGTGGGGAGGGGTTGTTTCTTTTTACTCCAGCTTTCTCAGTTCTTTCTTCCTTTTTTTTCCGGAGAGGGTTTTCCTATAGGGTGCTTGTGCTCGCCAGAGAGACAGAGACAGAAAACGAGAAATCACCCCCTGAGGGATGGCTATGCTGCAATCCCTTCTCCTCCATTCTCCTCTCGGCATCTTGGGCACGCACACACATGCACCTGGCGTGAGTTTAAGCCACCAGGTCCAGGACTGTAACTACAGTCAACTACATAGGAGTCCAGTGACATAGCTATTACACCAACCGCTGGTCCCTAGTTCGTTCTTTCTTTTAAGTTCATTTATTTTTTCCATGAGAGAGAGGAGGCAGAGAGAGTGTGCATGCATGAGAGAGGACCCCAATAGGGTCTTGATGCTGTGACTCACTCCAGCCTTAGCTAGCCCTGATCACAGGCCCATGCATGCCCTGCATGCTCTGGGAGGCTTCTGGACACAAACCTGGAGCCCTCCTACTTGGGTCAGCGCCACAGAGCACTGAATTTTACCACTGTACCACTCCTCCTGCTTTCTCAGTTATGCCCTAAGAATTATTTCTGGTTAAAAGAAAACAAGTCAGTGCTAGCTACCAGGACAGATGCATTGCTTCTTGGAGAGAAGTGACTGCCTAGGGGAGGTCATTGAGGTTTTGGTTTTATAGGTTGCAGCGTCTCACCACTGATCCAACCTTACCATCGAATTTGGCACTTGAGGCCATCTGAGTGTCAGCCTCTGACATGGTTTGTTACATTTGGCTCGCTGAATGCCAGGCACACGGCGTGGCCTGAAGAGGGGGCGGACACACCAGGAGGCAAGAATAAGCAGCTCTCAGCAGCTGGAGTGTTTCAGCCTTTGCTACCCTTTCTTCTGCAAGGGTTACCATGGACAGTACACCCTATTCATGGACAGTACACCCTATTCTTTCTTAACATTCCGCTTTCCACGCCCGTTCTTTATTCAGCCCGTGAAAAAGAGCGGCTACAATAATCTTAGGTGGCAAGATAATGTGGACCAGAGCAAACAGCCCATCAGCTGCTGACTGAACTGTTACTTGGTAAACAATGGTAGCGGCCCCTGCTGCCTCCTTAGCTACAGCTGAGACTCTGCAGAGAGCAATTCTGTTGTCCGGAGGGAAATGAGGTGGATTATTTGTACATTACAAAAGACAATAGTTTCTGTCTGCAAGTCCCAGAAGATGGAATTATTGCAACAGTAGCCAGATGACTGCTGCTCCTGTCCAAATTTGGTCTATTTAAAGAAGA